GAGAGAGAGAGAGAGAGAGAGAGAGAGAGAGAGAGAGAGAGAGAGAGAGAGAGAGAGAGAGAGAGAGAGAGATGGGTTTTGGTCTTTGTGCATTTGCTTCTCGCAGTACCCTGGTTTGTTTATGCTGTTTTCTTGAAAAGTGGGTGGAGGGAGTGGTGTTTCTGATGTCTTTTTTTTTGTGCTTTCAAATTTGTTTAAAAAATGATTTTATGTTCTTTTGCAGGCGAACTTGTCATCTAATTTATATAACGAAATCGTCAAATCTCCATCAGTTTGGCCAAGCTGGCTTAACTCTATCATGTTTTGTTTGCAACCCAGGGGTTGGCTGAAAATTCTCGATTTGCTTTTGGTCTTGGATCATCTCAAGAATTCAAAAGCCAGCATTCCTAACGACTTCACCTGGTACAAGAGGTATGCAAGCTATGGACTCTTTTCTTATCAAGATGTATGCAAGAAAAAAAGAAAAGAGAAGAAAAAAAAAAAACAAAGGGAAACAAAGGATGTTTGCCCTCATGCGTGCTCTGCTTTCGTTTGCAAGAGCAACTCCTTGATCCGCAGAGAATACCTTGCTTGTTGTAGCAAAGTGCAAATGAATGCCATTAGTTGCTTTTTCTCTTTTCCGCACAAAACACGGGCGCTTCTGTTTGAGAGGCGGCTAACGGAGGCCCGGATTTCCAGAAATTTGTCATGCAATTTATAAGAGAGCTGAAGCCCTTTTTAATCAACCTTGTCACCCACACATATAGTGAACACCGTACTAACGAACAGCCAAAAAAAAACAAGAAGAAAAAACAAAAAAACAGCATAAAACTTCAAGGCGAAGGTGCACTTTCAATGCAAAATTCGTCAAAATTTGCCCAACCCAAATTTCAGAAGAAATTTCAGAAATATCAACAGAGGAATTTTGAATGGTCCAAATTTCCAAAAGACACCAAATTTGACACACAGTAACGTTGATCTAAAATGGGGCAACAAACTGGCCGCCGTCGGAGAGCAAGGAGACTGGGCGACAACACGAGGCCCTATACGAGGTCCTATACATTTGTGAAATTGTCTATTAGCTACCTTTGAATCTTCATCAAATTCTAAAAATTGCTGTTGTGTGGGAGACGGGCTGTGTCAAATACCTCTCATTATGTTGTTCATTCTCCACAACGCAGTGCTGAAGTGCAAGAAGGAACCGGACTGTGTTGCTTCCCCGAATATATAATGGAGCCAGGAGGAGAGGTCCTGTGTGGGAAAAGCAGCACACATTAAGAAAAGGGAGAAAGGAAAAAGGAACAAGTCTATGCATACTGATAGTCACACGGCATAGCGAGAGGAAGAAGTATACACATAAGTTGCAGCCACACAGCATGGAGTTGCCTCCTCATCACGGGGGAAAAAAATGAATCTAGTTCTCCCATGTTACTGTTTGTGGTGCTCTGACTTATAAATGCATAGTCGGGTAGAACGCCTGGTCACTATCGCTGTATTTGGGCCAATTTTTTCTCTAGAGACAGCGATAATGACTGGGCGTTCTATTCCAATGAAGACGGTAACTCCAGTGTACACGAGCACAACACCTTGTTTAGCCATTAGATGACGTGGGCTGATCACAGGTACTAAATTACTAATGTCTTTCTTCTCTTTTTCCTCTTTTTCCTCTCTCTCTTCTTCCATCTCTCGGTCTGATTTCTCTCAGATCACTTTGACCGTGTTGGTTTAGCGATGAGACGTCCAAGTGGCTCTTCGCTATAGTACCCAGCTATGGCACATGGGGATGACACGCAGCTATGGCACCTGCTATGGCACCTTACTTTTGCACCTTGCTATGGCACCTGGCTATGGCACGCCGGTATGGCACATGGGTTATGGCATATGGCTATGGCAGTTGTGTATTACATGCTAGGTAGCTTATGGGGAAACATGTGGTGACTAAACTAAATCAGTGCTAGAGCTACCTTCTCGACCCGAATGCAACGTACGGTCATTATTGCTGTATTTAGACTGAAAGATAGCACAAATACAGCTATAATGACTGTACGTTGTATTCGGGTGAAGAAGGTAGGTAGAGAAATCATGGTAGCATAATGACAGGTTGTCTAACTCAACTTCTCGACTGGAAGGTTCAGGCTGCAGTGTAGGGAAGGCGTCTTTCGATGAGGAAGGCGACATTGAATTAGGGAAGTGTCTTGACTCTTAAGATTAGGGAAGTGCAACTCCTTTCGTTTCAGACAAGTTCTAGAGGTTCAGGCTTGTGGACATGTAAGGCCTATGCTATTGTGGAAGGGAAAACCCAGGTAGGTAGTCAGGGCATAGTCACATCGGGCACTCAAAAAATCGCAGAATTGCAAAGTCAGGGGCCAGATCGAGTCCTAGTCCTCCTTTTGGAAGGACTCGATCTGGCCGTCTGATTTTGCGATTCTGCAATTTTGAGTGCTTAGTCTGAGTATACTCTGAGTGTCCATTAGGTGTGAAATGAGGTGGTTGTTCGGAAAACATTCTCGACAGAACAGAATCACAGACGAAACCTAACCTATGATCGAAGGGATTGACAAATTAATTGAAATTATGCTTTATTGGAATTTGAACTTGCACGCATGCCATGGAAGTTTTCATCAAAGTAGATGTGTGACTTGCCCTCTGCAAAGGAAGGCATCATGTTACAAGAGGGTTGCATTATTAGGCGTTCGCAAATCTTCGCACGCAAGTCCGTGCAAACCCTGAACCTCTGAATGTGAGAGCCTGCAATAGGCAATTTCAAGGAGAGAGCATGAGGGGTTATAACTTTAAGCAGTCTACAATAGGAAATTTCAAGGGGAAAAAAGAGCATGATGACGGCAGTATTACATTTGATCTGACTGATCATAGCTTGTACCCTTCTCTGGATGGCTGGGGAATAATACGTGCCAAGGGTGCCACACTCGTCTCCCTAAGGTATAACCTGTTGTCTTCCCTTCAATAGAATGTACGGTCCGTATCTGGACTGAGAGTCCTCAAATACAGCTTCAATCGCTGTACGTTCTATTTGGGTGATGACGGTAGGGATGGATGATGAACTAGCTGGCACTCCCCACAATCGTTTGACCTATAATTCTGAGGCAATGTTTTCCTCCTTTTCAAAATGAAACAAAAGAAGGAACTGCTGGAAAGCATTCTCTTATCATAGTTTGTAAGGCTCATGGTCTATAGAGTGAATGAGTGAAGGGAACGCAGGGATGCGTAAAGCCAACCGGTGAGGTGAAGGGTGACAAGCAACAACACATCAGGGAGAGGAGACAGGGAGATTGAGAGTGTAATGGAGACAAAGCAGACTTAGAAAGCATACTTGCAACCGCACGAGCCGCACATTCGTGCGGAGTTCCGTGTGGGGGGTGCCTGTGCGGAATCGTGCAGGTCTTTTATTTTTATTATTATTTTTTATCTTTTCTGGGAGGGGGAACGGGGGGGAGTATGACAGGAAGATGGGGATATGGCGAGGAGAGGGGGATATGGAGAGGAGGAGGAGGATGTGGACAAGGAGGACGACGAGGATAGAGAGGACGACTAGGAGGAGGAGTCGAGATGGGGGGAGGAGAAGAGATGGACGGAGGGAAAAGAGGAAGGGCAGGAGGAGGAGGACGAGCTGGAGGAGGAAACATGGACGGCGAGGAAGGGGAGGACACGAGGAAGGGAAGGAGACGAGGAGACATGGAAGATGAGGGAGTACGAGGAGGAGGAGCAGACAAGGAGGATAAGGAAGAGGAGGAGGAGGACGAGTTGGAGGAGATGAAAAGGAGAAGGGAGGAGGAGACATGGAGGATGAGGAAGGGGAAGAGGAGCAAGGTGAGGCAGTACTCCTGTAATTTTTTTTTTTCATCTTGCTTGTAATTTTGGCGGGGGGGCTCAAACGCACCATTTCGAACCCGGCCTTTTTTTTTTTCTGAGGGGGGTGACGGGTCGTTCCCCGCACACGTCGTGCGCCGCACGGGATCGGTTGGGCACGTGCATCACACGTAGGAAACCGCCCGCACGACGTGCACTTGCTAGTATGATAGAAAGCCGTAGAGCGAAGTACTCGTGTGCTACGAAACGAAACGAAACGAAGTGACACTAAAATAAAATACATTGTTCAACGAGTAGAGAGCACCACTCTTGCGAGGTCCCTACGATTGTTTCATTCGCCCGCCTGCGGTGAAATCGTCAGGGGGCGAGATGAGCACGTACCCAAGTGGACATCCTACTGGACCTACTCCTTTAAATACCAAAAATCACGAAGGTCTCACGAAAATCCACCCAGCTCCTTCAACCATGAAGGGACTCGAGAATTCATAGAGGTAGGAGTAAGCGCGGAGGGCAGAGGAGAGATGAGATGAGGTAGGAGAAAGCAGGATAAAGAGTGTTAGAAGCCACTTAAACCGTACGCCTGGTAAGTCACTCGAGCATTCCACGTGGCCATTTCTGGATGCGACTTGAAATGCAGGTCTGAAGCAATCCTATGATCTGGGTGATACCCGAAACCGGTCATCGTACAACAAAGATCCGGACATATGCTGACATATGTCCAAATATGGCAAACAAACTGCTACTGCTCTAAATGTCGTGAAATTCAAATTCAAGTTCATTAGCAGACAAAAGCCGCTATCAGCTGGTAAGTCCTCAGGCAGGGAAGGAGAAAACCCCAGGCGGCCCATTTCATACAATCGAAGCTGAGAGTTCCCGTCAGATCGTTGAAATCGCGCTTATTGCTGAGACATAGATGTCCGACAGATCTTCAACTCCGGTGTCACGAGAAAGCTTGGATGACGAGGAACCACAAACATACGCGCAACAGGAGAAAGAAAAGGACATCAGAAAACTGGTGCAGCTGCATGCTCTGAGAACAGAAACGCCAGTCCACAACTCGCACAAAAGCGCCCATTCTAAGAATTACAAGTAGCATACCGAGTGGCCCTTCAACTGTTTTCGCATTCCTCAGGCAGAGGTAATAAAAGTAGTACGGGAAGGAGTATATTGCGAGACAGACAGGGTGGAGAGAGGGGGAGAGAGAGGGAGAGAGAGGGAAGAGGAGGGGGGAGAGATAGAGAGAGACAAAGAGCGAAAGAGAGGG